TGAGACATGTTCGTCGGGAGGAAATGACTGTACGATTCGAAGTACCTCGTCCGGTCCATATCGAAAATCTTACGAAAGCATATGTGATTAGGTAGTTATGCCTGTTTGAAAATCTAAGAATCGGGTGGTCATTTATTTTGAAGCGAGTGGTTGAGTGAAGTGAAGCTTAGCTCTCCAGCTCGACGTAGTTATAAGAATAAGAATAACGGTGTGTATAATTGAGTATTAGCTAAGTACTTGTATGGGCTATCGAGGTTCAATATAGGAAACCATAATCTAGGCCGGGGGAAGCACTTACAATAGACAAGTGAAGTCAGTTACATTTGGGTGATAGTTTCCATCCGTATATTTGATCTACGTCACGCCTGCCTGTCTGCCCCTATCTGCCCCTATTCCCAACTCCTCGGAGATATTTCCATGCAGCCAACATCATCTAGCCAGTTTTTCAACACTCAATTTATAGAGAAATCATATAACTTCTATATACTATAACAGATGATACATACCCTAACATTAACCACAAATAATTTACACAGGACAAAATATACCAAGTTCAATCCCTATCTAGATATTGTTCGTACGCACCCGGAACCCGAAACTCCTCTGGCAAATCCGGCTCGTCCGGCTCATCTTCATCGAGTACACCTTCATCAAACCAAGCATCGACATTCTCGCCATTCTCAATCTCGTCGATCTCCATATCGTTGAGCATGCGGTTGCGCTCCTCGATCAAGACGTCCACCCACCGAAGTTCGGCAGTTTTGCGTAACGAGAAGGCAGTCTGTGTTTCCCGCGTGTCCTCCACCAGCCTTCGCTCTGCTTCCTGCATCAGCTCCTCTTTGATTGCCTGCTCTTCCCTAACGCTCCAACGGTAGTTGTCTAGCTCGTTATCTCTCCATTTCTCCCATTTCCTGAAGCTGGCGTCCATTTTACGCTTTAGTTGCTTCATAGCAGCCTCTATTTTAGCTTCGCCATCTTTTTTACGAGACCAATATTCCTTTAATTGGGCATGGTACTGCTCTTCGATCTGACGCTCCTCGGCTACTCGTGCTACGTATTCCCGTCTGAGCACCTTTTCCCGCATCGCTAATTTGGTCCTCGTAACGGCGCTTAGCTTCTCACGTTCTGCTTTCTGTTTTTCCTGTAGTTCTCCTAGTGCCGTAGCGCCTTGATTTTCCAGTCTAGCTTTTTCAGTGCTGTGGTCGCGCTGTACAATGATGCGTTGGAGTTCGTGTACGTTTTCAAATACCTCACGGAGTTCCACGTATTTGACTTCTACCGCTCGCCGTCTCTCACCTTCACGCCTAATACGCTCCTCAAGTAGCCTCGCCCGACGCTCCTCGGCTAGCCGTTCCTGCTCTTGTCGCAATAGCTCAGCTTTGAGCGCTTCTTCGCGCTCGAATTCGGCTACTAGTCGTAGAGCTTCTTGGATCTCGGCCTCCTCTTGAGCTTCCTTGTCCTGACGGGCTTGGCGTCGTGCTTCTGCGCCTCTTTTAACAGCAGCTAACTGTTCCATCGTACAAGCGCAAGTTCGCCAGCGTGCACCACAAACGTAACAGAACTCTGCACCGCATCGACAAGTCATATGTTGGCATGCTTCCCTATGCTCAACATATGCATGACAACCATAGCATCGCTTCCACCCCTCTTCTTCAGCGAGTTCATCAGTTTTCATCATATCGCGGTCCTCGGGACAGTTGTCTCCTTCATGCTGCTGGCCGCGGCAAATTATGCAGGTCCAGTGGCCTGTAGAGCACCTTGCGATATTGCGGGCGCGGTTGATTTGATCCGGTCGAAGCCAGAGGCTACAGCTTTGCTGGCTGCAGTATACACGTTCACTGATTGGTAGGTTCCACTCTGCTGCTCTGTCGTGATATATCTTTTTCAGCTCAGAATCGATGTTCAATATTATGGTAGCGGCTGGGATGGGATTCAGACAGCACTTGGGTGGCCATTGCTGCTCATTTTCACAAGTCGTATGTATAAGTCGTATGAAACAAGGCTTGCAATAGCTGTGACAAGGAACCTTGATCATCTCCTTAGGGTTAAAGTCGTCTAAGCAGGAGACGCATTCGCTAGAGTACCTATATTAGTATTATTCTAGTAATTTGTCGGTTGTTATAGGCAACTCACACTTCGGCTTCATAGACCGATGAAGTAAGGCTGCTATTGCTGTTCGTCGTAGTCCTCTTTAAAACCTCGGATACGAATCGCTTCTTCGCTGTCTGGGTGCCCATTTCTAAGCTACTCCAAGAAATATCCCGCCTATGGCGAGCAGCTCCAGTTGTGCTGGACTCGCCCCTTTCTCCAACATTATTCAAGCGTCGAAAGAGATTTTTAAACGAGTGCTTTTTTGACTTGATGGGCTGCTGTGTTGGCGCGATAACATCATAAGTAAGTGATTCTACCTTGACCGGGACTGATACTGGAGTCTGAAGTGCTACATCCTGTTCATCTGGCCTCTCATCTAAGGGTGCGTCTGACGTTTCGGTACTCTGGTCTTCTTCATTCTCCTTCCTAAGCTTCTCGTGTTGCCTCAATTTCTTAGCATCCTCCGCTTTCCGTCTCTGCTCTTCTTCAAAATTCCGAGTCTTAACCTTGTCAATGGATTCCTGGATAATCCAGGCGACTACGTCCGACTTGGAACCTGCTGTGTCTTTCAGGCCTTCGGGAGGTTCGTACTGGGTCCAATCGACGATAACTTCATTCCTGGGTGAACTTGTCGACAAGGACCCGTCGTTTACGTTTGTCACGATAGCTTTCCCTTTCCCCTTCCATTTTGGAAATTCGTCATCTTCCCCTATCGGATGCTGTACCGGGACAGCGGGTGCACCAGAGAGTTCCTCCGTTGTGGAGGACGTCGGCTCGATGATCAGCATACGGAAATAAAGTATGAGTTGGCAACTTATAATAGCCAACAGAAGGATATGAATTGCCAAATTATCATCGCAGAACATGAGAAGGTCGTCAGTGAGCTTGCTTCAGCCGCAGAATTCCCCACGTTTTCTATGTTCTAGAGCTTGATTGGTAGCTTTCATGCGGCCCCCGTAACACAACACTCTGAGTGTACATGGAAAGGAGAAAACAAGGTGATATCAATCCCGCAAGAAAACACACAATAGGTAGGTAGATAAAGAGAGTAGCTATATTGGTGGTAACCTCAGGCCATGGTGAGATGTCAAGTCACCTACCTGCCTCCTAAGATACGTGATCTCAGCTTGCCAGATGACGACCTACAATGACCTCTTAGCTACATACCTACCTTGGAACTTAGGCGACTTAGGTAGTAGGGCTGAAAACGGATTCCCCAAATCCAGTACTTCAGCCCCGATCACCGAAACGTGGGCCGTATTTCCGTGCTAGTCTCCTTTACTTACTATACCTCTACGCTGATGAAGCGAACAGCGGATATGCAAGTAGCACCTGACCATATCTTGGTTATCTCTAATAAGAAACAAACTAGGTGAATTACGTGTGCTACTGCTAATAACTGATTGGCAGGTTTTGGGGGAGAGGTCTAACAACTAATGAGCTGACTGGGGCAGAGTAGCTAATGGTGTTAGAGGCGATGCCAGATGCTAAATCCTACTCGCTTAAACATTCTCATCTGACATGGGAACAGAGAAAGCCTTGTGCTAATGTAGCTCGAGGCGTTTCCAGTGGAGAAAACGTCCGGTTTGATGTAAGACGGTAAAGTTTGTCATTTTATTAGTTGATAGAGTAGCGCTGTGGATGGGCTGATGGGGAGATTGTTTGTCTGAGTTTGTAAATAGCGTATTTTCAGGAGCCGACGTGGCACAATTGCTGCTGCCAGTTGTCTACAGCTGTTAATATGATAGAATTGAACCAGTCATAGCCGAGTCGTTTTCTTTTCTTATCGCCCTAAACACCGAGGTTAGGGGTCCTTCCAACTCCTACACCGAGAGCCTGGGCGAAAACTTGTAGGATCAAGTGAGATTAGGAGAGGTTTACATGGGGGGATGAATTCTAATACTGACAGAATCGCTTGATTCTGGAGATATGTCACTGGATCCTCATGCTGTAAGAGTTGCGAGTCCGATACCCTGCAGGGCTGGATCCATCCACATAACTCGGGCGTCGGTCCGAGCGTGATATTACTACGCTATGTAGCCTATCGGCGCCGTTGGGGAACCTGCCGTAAAAGCTAACAAGTTAAAGAATCTCGAAGTTAAATCGCAGATATATCTACTGGCTCATGTCCTAGGTGGCGTTTTGACATTATGTTTATATAAGATTTGAAATTACTGCTGAACTGTTCGTCTCTGAAGACTTTACTTGTTTAACGAAGTTAATCTAACAATTTTTAACATAAAGAAACCCAAATATCAACTTATCTACTACAAGACTCAAAGCCAACATTGATAACGTATAATAAACCTACCGAAGTAGGGAGTCAATTTACTAGCCGTTGCAACTACAATGCCGGTAGCATCCAGGTATTACCTAGATAATTTAACGGTAATTCGTTTGGTTAATAAGTGAATAGGGGGCTATGTCGTTCATTGGTCTGTTTCTCTAGATACCTACCTAGGTAGGTACCTAGGGGTAGACAACCCTTAAACTACCAAATATCATAAGTTTCCGTTACACTGCATTGATATTACGGGGAATTGTTACAGAGAAACAAGTCACGTTTCCATATTCTATCTATATTTTGAAATCTCAAATGACGCTAATGTGGACACCCCTATTAACAACTTTTATGAACTATCTTAACATCGTCATCCCTTACGATAACTAACGGTCGTTCTCGACTGGTCTATCAACTAATATTTCCGAATAATTCTCAATATGTCACAAGTAGCATAAATATAAATGTTCGCCACGTATGTCACTAGACTATGTGTCCAAGAAGGAAACCTGCTTGACAACTAGCATGACGTCATCCCTGATCTACAACAACTAATTAGATGCGAGTATACCTAGTGCATATCTTACTCAAAGAGGCTTGAGTATTGAGAGGTGCCTCGAGCGTCCCCATGAAAAGATGTTTGACTCCAACCATCGAGATCATACCAATTTCACCTGAACAACATCCACCAAACCTCGTCTATATCATCAACTGGATATCTCAGCATCAAGATTTCAACGATATTAAACCTAAAATTGAATTGTATAGCAACTCTCATATCTTGCCTGCATTTATAACTTATACTTCACATAAACCAACAACAAATATCCCACCTTACCACTCAGACATAAAGCTATAAACATGACGGCGTCCACGCGAGCTTCGACGGGCCATTCCAAGCCACGCGTGCACCTGACCGTGTCCACCGAGCCGGAACGCAAGCGCCAAAGCGGCAACACCACGACTACCCATCGCCACACCGGCGTCAAGAAGCGGACCGGGGCAACAAGAGCCCCGGCTACCCACCATAAGCGGAAGCCACACCTAAGCGATAAGATTGAGGGTGCTGCTGAGAAGTTGGTTGGTAAGATCACACGCAGACCGGGGAAGAAGGCTGCGGGGACACGCAAGATGCGCGGAACGGACGGGAAGGGTAGCCATGTTAAGCGGGTGTAAGGTATATTGGTTGCGCGGGTTTTATTTGTGTTTCGGGATAATCTGCGGCTTCTGGGTATTAGGTATGAGTATTAAAGAGTGAGAATTGTGTACAATGTATAGTGTCTAAGGGGGTTCTTACTGGATATGCACTACAGGAGGCAAGGGAAATACGGGTATGAGAATCTGTTCATGTCAACTTCGAGGGTATAAGTTATCTTCAGGTGGCGCTAAACATTTGGATCTAATGAAAATAATACCGAATGTATAGCTATATTTCGAACGGATTGGTTATTTCTTCGAGGAATTTATCTCATTACGAATTACCCAGGAGATTATCATTAATTATTATGTATAACCTACCTCTTAGGAGGTGGTAATATGGCATGAAGGATCCTACTGGAAGAGACTTTTAGGTATGATATCTCATTATCTGTTTTTACTTCCTAGCTCATAGTTATGCTATTCACAGTTCTCCTCAAGTCCCCCCGAAGGGAGTGGAATCGAATTGACAATACTACTTAGCTAAGCTCACGAATTTGTTCATATTGATGATAACAATAATGATAATGAATTCGTTAATGTCCAGTGAGCGTGTAGTTTATCTGAATAGCTTACACTTAATCACCCGAAACGCAACAATGGCGTACCTATGGGATAGCTGGAGTGAATGATGATCAGTTAGGGTCAATCCATACTGCCTTGGGTGCTTTTATAGAACCTATACTGTGCTGTCCATTACTTAGGGGATTGGTCGATCGAACGTCAGGACAAGCTACCTATCTGTAGGTGATAGGTTCCATCTAGGGTCTTAGGGACCGAATGCGATTACGTGCAAGAATACATAAAGTATCCTTAGATACTTTATTGTCGCTGTCTTCACTTCCAAGTGTGATTATCCGCGCACAATTGACAAGATGATGGATTTCGTGTCCGTTGAGATTGAATTCCGATAGCTCGTTGAGCACCTCCTCCATGTCTTCGGTACCACATATGAAATTGTCCTTCCCGATGTGCTCGATTGAGTCCCGCCAAATTTGACGGCGTGTCTGTATGCCGAGGGGACTGAAGGGCAAAAAATGATTAATATGCGGTATGAGGTCCGGATCAATGTCGATAGTTTCGTTAGCAGTGAGGAATAATATGCCCGTATAATTGCGATCTTTAATTAGCTCAAAGGAGCTAATGACAAAGCCATCGTCGTCTTCGCAGTACTTATCTTTCCGGGCAGCCACAAGACAATCCGCACCCTTTAGGAGGAGAATGCCGCCCCATGAGTCGCAGAGCTCCATAGCTCGCCTCAGATCCACTATCGTATCAAACTCGTACTTGAAATCACTCACAGCGAAGGAATATAGAGGAAGTCCTAATTTATCAGCAATTGCCTTGGCCGTGAAGGCTTTACCGACTCCTGATGGCCCAAGCATGAGGCATGTAATACCGTGGCCCTGGTTCCGGACGGGGTCGTTGCTCCCCAGATTACTAGAGAGGAGCTTTCCTTTGACGAGATTCAATATCATATTCTTCTCGTTATCTGGTAGGTGGAGCTTCTCAAAAGCCAGGTTACTCGAGTTTACCTCCTCTAGATCGTCGACCAAGACTCTGCACCATGTTTCTATCTGAATATCGAAGCACTTAAGCCAAGGATTTACCATGAGCCGCTGCTCGTCAGTCAACGGTTGTAGACACTCCATTCTTTTTTTTTTGACCGAGGGAGCTGGTACGGATTCAGACGCGGTTTCTGATTCATCAACACTAGCTTTTACTGGATGTTTGCCATTGTCCTCAAGTGGCCGTATCTTGGGAATGAAGTTGGCGCTCTGCTTATAGTACGCAAATGAGTCGACACACATCTTTGACCCTGCCTTTGCTAAGTAAGAAACTAAGCTTGTCGTAATTTAAATATATAGTAGAATACTTACCGGTGTCATGTACCATCTTCCATATCTGTCAGGTATGCTGCATTCTCTGCGACAAGCCCTAAACCTATAGCCTCTGAGTTGCTCAAACTTACGACCCCTCTCGATAAGAGCTGCTCTAACTTTAGCTTCATCTGCTAAATATGAAATCGGAAACACATTCAACTCAGTGACTCGACAGTCGCCATCAAATTTATCGATCGTGAACGAATATTCTCGATAACCACATTCCTCTCCGTTCCAATCCACATGCTCTACGTCGATCTTCCACTTCGGATCTGTATTTCTTCTGCCCTTCTTCTGGCACCTGAGTACTCGAGAGACGATTTCCGCATTATCTTTTCTGCTGAAGACTAGAGTACCAGGAGGAAATATGTGCTGGATTTTCGCAAAGTCAATGCTTTTGGGCTTGATGATTGGAGGAGGATGTTGCTCAGTGGCCCCAGATGCTTGAATGTTATCCATAACGTTATGTTGTATTTAGCTGAGATATGGTAAAGGCGATATCTACTATGAGGCATACGCTGGTGTGCTGATTTCTGTGGAGGTGTTTGGTGTATTGATATGTTTAGGCGGATAGACGTTCAACTATTTATAAGTATAAGTGGCAAGGCAACCACAGCCTTACTATACGGCCAACATGTTCTGCTTAACTCTTAGGCACTGATATAGGTGCCTAATAGCAGACTAAATATGATAAGACTACCGATGTGCCATAAAAAGAGATTTAATAAAGAACAACAAACATAAACTACAATATGATACCATAAGTCAATCAAGAGACGAATCTTTGCTATTAACCAGCACTTCCATGGTATATTAAGTTCTATGAATAAGAGGTTTATGATACGAGAAAGAGTTTCATATCTTGCACTAGATATCGGGACAACTACCTGACTAGAATGGGAGATGTCAGATTCTATTATGCTGAGGAAACTTACAGAACCCAACTTTCTGATAAACTAAAAAATAATTTAATACAGTTTGTGACTGACTCATTGTCTCCTGACTTACTTCATACACCTACCTAGGGCACCTATCTAGGATATTAGGAGCATTAGACATTTAAGGGTTTGGAACCCTCGATATGTCTCGACGTTATTAGGAATTATTATTTATTTTTTTAGAGTAGTCTACTAGAATCAACTACTTTATAGACTGCCTAGTACCCAGATACCTGTCGTACCTGGTTAACGGCCTCTTCCATTTGTAGATTCTGATCCGTATTAATCGTTTCACCGTGTTCGATAAACCTAGCTAGCTGAGCGGATAGAGACGTAGTGCTAGTTTCTACCGCTTCTATCCGGCCTAACTCTAAGAAAAGCCCCTCCTCATCCTCACGTAAGGAACCTACATTTCGGTCCCCCGTTGACGCTTTTTGGTGGGTAGATGGCTCAGATATCGTCTCCAGATAGACGTGGGGTGGTTGCTTTGAAGACTGCCGAACAGGAAATAGGGTTGATGCCTTAGAGATGAGTGGCAACTGTGAAATGCGCCTAACCAAGGGTCTGAATATAGGTAGACTAGCACATAAGATGGCTAGGCCAGCATGCACAGTCGTCCACACTTCGGTGTTCGAATATGATGGGACGCGGCTATTAGGTGGGTAGCCAAGAATTACCTTGATCAGACCCGTCGCAATAGTACTAAAAGGAATATTAGTTTAAAGCCCGTAAAATAAACATAATAGGATGTAGCGTACAACCCGCCTAGCAGAAAAATAATCGAGACGGTGCCCTTCTGCCTAGCTGATAGACGCATTCTCACGACAACGCTGATGGGTAATGTTAAGATCAATACGTCAAGAAAGATCTCACACGCTCCTGATGCCATCCAGAAAATATTATAATTGAAGCAATATCTCGGGTCAGCCAGGCTATTGTTCCAACTCCATTCGAGGGGGATACAGTTCGTCAGCGTAGCTATAGTGCATCCAACCCACCATCCGATGACCAAGGCAACCGATAAGAATAATTGATAGCGAAAAGCGGTACTAACGGCAAAGATGCGGTAGTACATGAGCAATATTCCTAGTTTGGTGGCGCCTGCAATGGTGAAATATAGGATGGAAGATGCAAATGAAAGCTTAAGGTAAAAGACGTCTTCAGCTGTATAAAGGTAGTCTGGGTCAGTGTTTTCCGAAACCCAGAGGCCGTCCGGATCGACGCTGTTACCTATCACAGCTGTTAAGAGGGCGATTATCTCGATATCTCGATAGTAGTGTAACATACCCCAAAGGAGAAGTATAGCTGTCAAAAGGGTTGCGATGGCAGCAACTAGAATTAGCCAGTCATCTGCTCCTAAGCCTGATCGAGTGAACTTCCGAGTGAAAAATCGCAGAGCAACAGATATAAGAGCAAGTACAATGACGACTCCGCTAACAGCCAATGTCGCATCCCCGCCGTTTTCAGATGGTTCTGAGGTAGATGCCATGATCCTGTGAACTCTTAGTTGTAATTAACTAGGACTAAACGAAAAAAACTATTAGAAAACCCCGGACACTCGTCCATGGGTAAGGTATATCCTCGCCATGGAGGTGCTACTAAGATGAACGACACCACAAATTCCTAATAATAAGCTGGGTAAGCTGGGCTGTGCGGGCACAACTGCGAAGCTGGTGACAGAGAGAGGAGGGGTAACGCCATCGTGGTGACAGAGGGGGAGGGGTAACGCCATAATCGTAGTGCAATACCTGTGCCGCAAAGAACACCTGTATTATGGAAATACTACACAGCCCCCAAAGCGTACGCGCATAACTTGGGAATTGCCCAATTGAAATCAGGGGTAAGCCTGTTGTGGCACGATGTTGTATACGATAGTGATATCTTGCATAATCCGTCAGCGTCTAGAATTTAGTTGGTGGAACAGGTCACAATAATTTAGGTACCTAAGGATTGTACTTCGTACCTCCTACGGGAAGCCCCGTGTAGGCGTTTGTTACCTACGTCCCTTCCCTCTTAAGATTCATTTTAAAAAAGAAGTCTGATTGGTTAAGAGCTTGAGTAACAGCACTAAAATTGGAACCCTACAAACATCGGAGAAGTCAACTAATCAACTAACTACCAACCGCGACTTGTCATCCCCTTTTTCGAAGTAAGCAGAACATCGTTGTTTTCCTCAATCTTGTCATGAGATCTCGTCATTAGTTCCAGAGGTCTCAGCAATTGGAAGACCAATTACATACTTGAAGCGTGGGCGAGATGGGGTCGTTTATATCTCGGAATGAATTCCCAGTTGAAGGACGAGTATGCTTTTTTTTATTTTCCAAACTTATTTTCTAAATTCAAGCCCTCATTCTTGTTATCTGACATTATTACAGACAGTCCTTATAACTGGTGCTTCTAGAGGTCTTGGTCTGAGCGCCGCCCGCCAATTGGCAGAGAAAGGCGCCAACATCGTTATCGTCGCGCGCAACGAAGCCAAGTTACAAGAAGGCGTTGCCTATATCTCGGTAAGGCACTGTCCCCGTTAATTTGTTAATCCTTGATTTATGATTTATGCGAGTAAGCGACTGACTTTCAACTTAGAAAGGCGCCCGCTCGCCTGAGACACAACGTTTCCACTACATCAGCGCCGATGTGACCACTTCTGCCGAGTGCGCTCGCGTGGTTGCTGAATCTATCGCGTGGAACCATGGCTCACCACCCGATATTGTTTGGTGTTGCAGCGGTAGCGCGCATGCGACACTTTATATCGATACTCCGCCAGAGCAGTTTCAGACTATGATGGACAGCAACTATTTCTCGTGTGCATACATGGCACACGCCGTGCTCAACGCCTGGCTACGACCTGATCCCCATGCAACGAACTCTGAGAGACGTGCAGAATCTATGTCTCAGCCAGAGACAAAAGCGGGTCCACTGCCGGCTCGCCATCTTGTCTTCACCGGCTCGTTCGTTTCATTCTACAGCTTTGCCGGCTTTACGCCCTATAGCCCTTCCAAGGCAGCTATCCGTGCGCTTTCTGACTCATTATCCCAAGAGATGAACCTCTACGCAGCGGCTCACCCCAATATTCCCCGTGTGCGTGTGCATACTGTCTTCCCCGCTACCATGCCCACTCAGGGCTTAGAAGAAGAGAATAGCATCAAGACCGACCTAACGAAATCCCTCGAGGAGGGTGATCAGATACTAGAACCAGCAGAGGTTGCGCGGCGCGCAATTCGTGGCTTAGAAAGTGGCGAGGATCTGGTACCTACGAGTACCATCATCAGGCTCGTAATGACGAGCGTACTAGGTGGTTCTACACGCGGAGGGTTTTGGAAGGGATTAGTCAATACTCTATTGGGCTGGGTGGTTCTTGTGGTGATGGTGTTTATAAGATGGGAAATGGATACCAAAGTAACGAAGTGGGGAAGGGAGCACGGATCAAGCGGGATGCTCAAGGAAAAGGGGAAATGATGAAGTGGATGTGTTGGTCCAATACGGAGACTACTATGTGTAGCGACGGCTCTCAAGTTCAAGGAGATGGTGAGACGATGATACAATTCTCCCTTTCTGAAGACTTTAAGTCTAGGTACCTAATTAAGGAACACTAACGTTACTACAGAATTAGGTCTCTTATCAAATAATCTATCTTAGGAGGTACTCATCATAGGTACCTAACTAACCTAGGCACCTAATGCGGGAGAAAAGGGGAGTCGAAAAAGAAAGAAAGCTTTAAACGTACCGTACCTTAATTTATGTCTAAACAGCCCTTATGTGTAAAAGCCAGGGTTTCAAGAGTCGGACACAGGCCCGTTTAGTTGAGTCTTGTGTTAAAATTTACTAGGCATTGACCGTTAGTTAAAATATGGATCAAAAGTACCGCACTGAGTATCTTCCTAGTATTATTGCAAGTAAGACAATCTCAAGTTAGGCGAATTAAAGCCCCTCCTTTAAGAACTTCAAGACACTCAATCCTTCACGTGCGAGGACTATTCGAAACACCATGTCTAGGGTCCGTTTATAGCTCCTCGCTCTTTCCATCCCCATCTAGATCCGTCGGATCGTCCAAATCTGCAAACAGCTTTACACCCCAGCTTTTTCCAGGGTCGTTCATCCTCGTCTTCTTGTCTTGGGTAGCGATAGCCTTCATGTCATTTTCGGTAAGCTTTATATGCAACGCCTCGAGATTCTCCTGGATGTGTTGCTCGTGAATGCTCTTTGGAATCACACTGGTTCCTCTCTGCATGCCCCAGGCCAGCAACACTTGGGGCACGGTTGCTTCCTTCTTCCCAGCTATGAATTTCCAGAACGGGTCTTTCAGGATGGGCCCGACACTGCTATTGTAGTGTGGATTCGTATCCGCAAGTGGTGAGTATGCAATGACCTTGATGCCGACCTCTTTGTGGAAATCAACGAAATCTTGCTGCTGTAGGTAAGGATGCGTCTCAAATTCATGGGCGTATGGGCATATTGTGCATATATCTAGAATATCCTCGACGTCCTTCTTGGCGAAATTGGAAATGCCGATTTTCCTAGTCAAGTTGGCTCTGACAAGGTCTTCCATGGCCCGCCATGTGTCGAAGATAGATGTTTTTTTGTCTATCTTAGTTCCCTCGCCGGGAACAAAAGCGACCGGCCAGTGTATGAGGTAGAGATCTAAATATCCCACGCCGAGGTCTGATATTGATTGTTGGATTGCTTCTCGTACTCGTTCAGGGCGGTGATGTTCATTCCACAGCTTGCTTGTCACCCAAATGTCTTCTCGAGAAACACCTGCCCAAGCTATTCCATTGCCAGTTTTGTCTTCATTTCCTATGCATCGCATTAGTATTCACGCGAACTATGGGTTATTGACGATTCGTACGATAGATGAGAGCGGCATCTATATGAGTATATCCTGAATCTAAGGCATATTGAACAGCATGGGCAACCTATAAGATACTGTAAGTTCACTATTCACTATGAGATGCGTCTTCCTTTAATTGAAATATATTCTACCTTTTCTCTGTCAGCGAGCCAAGTGCCCAATCCAAATTTAGGTATATCCTGGACTCGCGAAATATATGTTTCTGCATTTGCCGAGACTACCGATAGGAGGAGATGGGAAAAGGGGGCAGCAATGGTCGTTACAATCGATATAGATAGAGGAAACATCATTTTGTGCAATCGTCTCTTTGCCCAGAGCAAGGATCCTATAATTGAGGAGTGAGCGGTGATTTTTGTGTATGTATGTATTACAGTGAGCTCCGTGTGATCCAATCTGGTTCCGTGGATGGATCTTGACGAGTCAGGTATGTATTGTCATGATGTCGATGCATGACATCATTCAACTGCAACATTTCGAAATCACAGCATCTAGCTTCGGACAGATCAGGATTAAATATGTAAGATCCATTTTCCCCTTAACCTTCTAGATCGATCCAAGCGAAAAGCGGTACAGAGTGGATGCTCCAGAAACGTCGAAATAATGACGTTGATTTCCAAGGGGCGACAGTAAGACAGACTGTGCGCAGTATGGCATATAAGGTACCTATATATAGAGGAGCAATTGACTTGGTTAAACTTAAAGCACATGTTCCTTGTTCAACTATCTGCTATTAATTCGTAAACAGTCGTATACCTTAGGTACAGAATTATCATTGAGAATACCATCATGGTCGGCAACGTTGGAAATCCTAATATTTGCGAGCAAGACGATCAAGTCAACTATGCCCAAGCGGATATAGAAGAAGAAAATAAGCATCATACAATCAATGCTCGAGGTTATATGCCTAGTATGTTACAACTCATTATGATTTCTATTCTGCTACTAATACGTCCTTCACAGAGGATCAACACAGAGTAATGACCGAAATGCTCGACGAGCATGTACGTCCAACGAACAAGCCCATAAAACATTAGCTATTTTATTTGATACTAGCTCTAACTTCTTATTGTGCATAGACCCAGGATGATATTGCTGAGCGATATAAGAACGACCCTACTTACAGTGTACGTTATTTCAAGGAATCAGAGTTCGCTCTATTCGTCTCTCCTTGCTTACGCTTGTAACTATAGGCAATCATGCATGGACACAAGCCTTCAAAGGGCGCAAGGATTGACGCCGATATCCAGCGAGAAGAACAGGAGCAAATAAACAAGAAAAAAGAGAAAACGGATAGTTTGCCTGGAAAGAAATTCTAGCTCGGAGCCGTATAATATGGTCTGGGTTGTGATGGGGCCCCTGGAGTGGCTAAATTAAAACTAGAATGAAAGATCGTCAATATCAGTCCTCTAGCTCGCGAGTAGATGAGCGAGTCCTACTCAATGCCAATGCGAAAAGTGCTTCCCCCCTTCTCATCAATGGCAGGGTACTCGATAGACCTATGCCTGAGAGCATCGACGTTTCCTACAACGTAGCCGACTTATAGCCTAGTCTTCTCCCACCTTAATAAGGGTAAGTGATCGAGAGACTTATACACTTGGCACCTATACTAACTCTATGCTAATGAATATAGGATGGTGTGAGCGATTTGGTAGATTACCTACATCGAAGAAGGCCTTGCGGAACACGAAGCCCGCACGCGTAACATCTGCACTAACATCATTGCATTGATGGAGAACGTCCCGGCCGAGAAGGATAAGTTGAATTTCATATTTGGGCCCGATATAACCGTACTATACGCCTATGTGGTCGTATTTTTAAGACGCGTGTACGAGAAGAAAAGAAGGGGCCTTATACCGTCGATACTGATACGGTGGCACTGTATTGATCCAAAGCTACACCGTAGCAGGACGAGAATGGAGGATGTGCTTCTCCGGTAATGATTTTGGGGGATGTTACCCAGCTTCCGCGGGCGAATTAACCGGGAAGCGGGGGAGCACAGTAATATAGAGGCCAAGTATATTTCATTCTCGCCCTAAGCGCAACATGTTGGGGTAATTAGTTCCTTGTTGTCATTTCGTACATTATTATAGTCGTGCAGAAGGTAACAATACTATTATGTTAGCTCCGAGCGGGAAATTCTTGAGATATTAGTAGCTTTCCGATTCTGAATGGTACGTTATACCCAAGTTTATATAGGGAGAGTAAACACTAACAAGGGAACTTCAGGCTGGGACTCTCGATTCAACTCTCCGCCTGGATGTTATCATCATAGGTGCTGGAATAAGCGGTCTAGCAACTGCTATAGAAACTGCATTGTCTGGCCACAATGTGACCGTATTCGAGACGGCGGAAGGGCTCCACGAGGTAACAGTCATATAAAAATACATTTGTGAACCTTTTTCCTCATTTACAAAATTGTAGATAGGGGCTGGGATACAAATTACACCAAACTCTTCACGGATACTACAACGCTGGGGCCTTTCGAACGACTTGTGGGCTTCGGCTGCCGAGCCTACGTCTCTAACCGTCCGCCGATACTCCGGTGAAGTCTTAGCTGTAGAGGAAGACTGGAAAGAGAAGATACGAGCAAAATACGGCGCTCCCTTTATTGAGTTCCACCGGATTGATTTCCAAACGGCACTTTACGCACGTGCTATAGAACTTGGTGTGCAATTTCGATTCGGAGTGAGGATAAACAGCGTGAACTTCGAGACGGGGGAGATCGCGAGCCAGTCAGGGGCTAAAATACGCGGAGATCTAGTGGTCGCTGCCGATGGCCTGTGGTCTCTTTGCCGGGCGCAATTCCTTCCCAAAGACTTTGAAGGCGTCCCAAGACCGACCGGTGATCTAGCATACCGATTAGTTCTCAAATTGGATCGAATTCAGGACCCCGAGTTGAGGGAATGGGTAAGTAACCCAAAATGTAATATCTGGATGGGCCCCAAGTCACACGTCGTCGGATACTCGCTCCGAGGAGGAACCGAGTTTAATCTGGTGCTGATAGCACCGGACGACTTACCAAGCGGTGTCAGCCGCCAAGCAGGCTCCGTGGAGGAGATGAAAGCGCTTTTCAGGAATTGGGATCCGATTTTAAACAAGTTCCTCGCGCTCGTTAGTTCTGTTAAAAAGTGGAAGCTGATGCATCGTGAGTTTCAGTTACATTTTCTTTGTCTGATGCTACCGAAAATCTAATTATAATCCAATTCTAGGTAAAGAGATGCGGAGATGGATCCACGAGTCTCCTAATGGCTACTTTGCCTTCGTGTAAGTTCTCGCCTGAAAACCGGTGAAAGATTTGTTATTGCTTTGCTAGCCTGGCTAACCTATTGCCCAAGCGGCGACTCCTGCCATCCTATGCTGCCGTACCTGGGCCAGGGAGCTAACTCCGCCATCGAAGACGGCGCCGTTCTTGGCCGCTTATTAGGACACATCCAATCCAAGGAGCAGATCGGCAAGGCGTTGAGAATGTACGAGCAACTTCGAAAACCACGGGGAGACGCCATTGTAAAGGAAACCTTCGGACAAGTGAGTTTATATTATGTTTTATAGAGGGCTCGAGCCATACCTATCAACCCTCTTGGGACTATCGCCCCCCGGACGATATATGGTAGCTAATGAGAATTCTCGCTGACAATTACTAGCGCGACATATTTCATATGATTGATGGTCCCAAGCAACGGGCGCGAGATGAGCTACTACTATCGCAGATGGACAAGGAAGTCAAGACAGCCCCTTTTCCAATTCGTTGGTGCTGTCCCCAGGTGCAACCCTGGTTATATGGTTATGATGCATGTGTGGAAGTTGATAAGGCTGTCAGCGAGAGCCCCTTTATTATTCCGTGGGAGGAAGATTTGGACTTGGACGATAGCGGCATTGCACTTGAGAGTTGAAATTTTAGTGTCTCACGAACAATCCAAAGCGCAAACGAGGTACGAGACACCGCGTCGTTTGATGCATATAACGAAGTCCAAGTAACTTCGACTGGCAGCTTTTCACGATTCGAGGCCAATGAGAAACTCAGAATCACTTCTTGATATTGTATATATTTATGAACCATTCTGCTGTATATCTTGCGTGAAAGGAGTCTTAGCGTTGAACATGTACAATATGTACTTCGTATGATAACCTTTAATCGTTATTTGTCTGCCCACTCTTGTAAACATCTAAACATCTAGAAAAATGGAACTTTACGCCCTAACTGGTGCTAATGGCTACTCTCGCTATCAGCTTCAACAATAATGGAGCCAAGCGCAAAATATCGCCATCGAAGGGGGTTATCGTTCTACAACTTCCCCTTTCTCTCGCCTTGCTTCCATTGGCGCTGGCATATGCCATCTTGATATTCCGTAGCAACATGCACACCTTTTGGACTCCAGATCTTGCTCATAACAATCGCTCTCCCAGCTTCAAGTCGCGGGAAGCACGCTTCTTGGATCCACCACTCATTTTCGCCATAGGACATCACCGCGTCCTCGGGATTGACGTGCACCACGAAAGAATAGCTTAGACTAGCGGCGCGACCAAAGTCGTACCCAAATCCGACGTGGTTGCCTATCATGAGCAACCCATTCCTATCAGCTTCGTACGCGTGAGCGCAAATGTGCGAATCGGGGTGATCCGCGGGTAAAGGGGCAAGCAGCCGATATAGCAAAAGCTCCCGCCGCTCGTGGAGCGGTTTGCCCTCGTTGAAAGCGGCGAGGTCGACCTTTTTCATGTCGACTATGGGAAAGGTCCCAGGGTTCCGCATCGGAAATTCGTCTACGGTCTTGGCGATATCGATATGTGGCGCCGGATCCCATGCCGAGGGGGGCCGGGAGCTCAGGATATCTGCGAACCGTGTCTGCGCTGGCTGTTCCTGGGCTACATGTTGTGAGACTACAGATGGTCTAAAGGACACTAGAGCATTGAAGCAAACTGGGCCGAGGGGAAGCTCGGCGTCGGCAAGAGGAAAATGATCTCCTGCCGGATTTGTGCTCGATGATAGAGGCTGTCGCACTGTGACTAGAAGATTTGGAAATGAAGGGTTTGGCGCCATAGTAGTCACATTGTATATAAATGGCCTATCTATCAGACCAGCTTCCGAAAAGTACCCATGAATAGTCTACGTCTACCTATCAGCAAGCCTAGCTTTACGTTTTATGTCTAGGTATTTACTAGAATGGACTACACGTTGGCGAGCTTAGACGACTTACATGAATACCGACTTCCTTTCGAGAAGCACCAGAAGCACCAGCTTGCGAACAAGTTTGCATATCCGCAAGGGCTTTGGATGCAGCTATTCCCGCTTGGCTGTACACGTGTCCACCAAACGCCACTTTTCGACTTGAAGGCCCATTTTTCGATCCCGAGTATACAGTAGTCTCGCTCGCGATTGAGACGTCGCCTTCCGGATGCCATGCGCTCCGTTGGCTCATATACCGTTTTACGATCTTGCCGTGCTCAACCTCGTCAGGAAGAGCAACTAATCTGAAAACCTCCTGAGCTGGGAGGCGCTCGTTTGACGGCATTTTAGCGGTGCGAGGTGCGATGTATAGGTATACAAAAACTCCATTTAAACAGAGGTAAGCAAGCAGGTTAAGACGCGAAATAAGACATTCCTCTGGACGCGATGCAGATAAGCTGCCTAGGTATGTAGGAGGTAAGTACCTAAGGTAGTAGGTAGAAAAAAGCCATGGAATAATATAACCTCGGGATTAGGAATAAGCAACTATACCGTATTAGAAACTTACCGAGGGCCATGGGTACATAAGCAGAAATATCACGTGATACCCCTGATAATACCCCTGAACATACATATTTAACCTAACCATAGTATAGTACGTGTTACGTGTGTACATATTCTTGTGTCCTCTATCACGAAACTATCAAGTACATATTCCGCAAGTGCTACATAGCTACCATCATTCCTACAGCTTGCTTGTAAGAGGATGATATGGTACCGCTTATATAGTGGTGCATCTATTCACATCTGTGAAAGTTCATGTGCACCGCCAACTAGAAGCATCGTTCTGAAGACCTTGGCCGTCGTATTTCGCTGTTCGTGGAAACGCGCAAAGAGGACGCTGTCTATGCATCACTACCGCCTGCATATTTGAATCCGAGAAGTTGAATCCCGTCGCGATGATTTGGGACACCGCATTGCCGTTCTCGACCCAGTCCATCAACGCCAGCAAGGCGTCATGCTCCTTGTCCTTGTAGCCGGGGACCGAAGATCCAGCATTGTAAGGTGGTACCTGCGCTGCCTGGCCTGCGCCGGCGATCATCCACGGAACGTTGAAATTAGGACTACCCGGGGCAGCCCAGCAGTGCCCCATGCCTGGAATCTGGAAGTATCGGAAGAAATCGTCAACGCTTCCCATAGCTTCTACCGTCCGGTCGTAGTACAGAGTAGTGTGTTGCACTGGCACGGTGGCATCTGCGAGCCCCCCGTACATGACTACGTTACAAAAGTCAGCTCGCCTCTATACAATCGAAGTATGTCGGAAAAGGGGGAGGGGTCAGTTCTCTGGATCATACATACTGATTTTACCTTTGCCTCGAAAGCTGCCGAGGTCGAATTGATCTGCAGAGGCTTGCACCGATTTCTTATCACGAGCTCTAGCATCATCTACGACGCTGTCGTTATATGAAGTGATCTGCCAGTCATTCCCATAGTTCATGAACGTTCGCTCGTACTGCGCATCGAAGCCCCTTCTGACGTTATTAGAGTCATTTGGGTTGGCCGGCATCAGGAACGTCCCCCATTCCGCCTCGGAACTGTAGTCTAGCCCTTTGTAAACGAGCTCTCCGCTCTCGATGATGTAGTCGCTGTACATCTTCTGCGCCGTTTCTATCTGTGCCCGAGTCCAACAGCCCTTCTTATCCGTCGATACATCGCAGCTAATCCGGGCAATATCAAACTGTTCTCTGCATGCCGAGAGCGAACTAACAATCCCATCTTGCACGCCATCCAGAGGGTCGCACTGCTTCAATACCTCTGCTTGGAGCCGCGAAAAGAGGCTCTGGTCACTAATGCTACCGTCGGCATCTTCCGGGAGATTCCACATCGCTAACCTAGAAATCCAAGGCATCAAATTCTTGGTATCCCATGCTGGTGCCCCAATCAAGGCTCCATCAAACATTTCAGGGTCTCTTTCTAAGGCAATAAGTAAGCAAATATTCCTCTCCACAAGTAGACTATATATATATGTGGGAATAGATATCCCCAAAATAAGGGAAAATAGATAGGGGTAGGATAATTGCTGGTGCTACTTACGGATTTGTTTGAGGCCTTGTCTACCTCCGGTCGAGCATCCGCTATAATACGAATACGCGATCTGTTTGTCGTTGTAGTATGCTTGAATGAGTGTTTTGCCTAGGGTTATAGAACCCTCCATTGCCTGGTAAGCCCAGTTGACTCGAAGCTGTTGAGTAGTTGGCCATGTCATATCTCCTGGACCCGAGTTATGTCCAGTGTCGGTAGCAAGAGTAGCCATGCCATATTGCACTCCGGCTCCCATGTCGAGCCAGTTAATGCCGCCGAGGAACGCATAACTCCCAATGACGAGGAGTTTCGAATTCCAGGTGTCTGGAAGGAACATTCCGAAGCGGTAATTTGCCGTCTCGTTTTTGACTATAACCGCGCAGAGCGACGGAAGTCCAGACGCAAACGTAGGATAGCCCAGATTTCCCCGCTCCGTATAAGTTCCGCTCGTGACATCTTTGACGCTCTCGATCGAGATACCAGAAGGGACAATCCGATTAAAATAGTCTGCGGTACATCCCGTAGATTGGCGAGGTCGCTTTGCATACGGCGTACTGTTAACATGATATGCAAAGAAGCTTAACAGGACCCAGAGGACTGGAACTATTATAGTAGCCATTTGGATAAATGCGGTAAAATTCAAGTAGCCTTGCCGATGATCAATAACTCAATATAGTTGGCAGCAGCTTACAGATACTTATAGGTCAGCCGGCAGGTCACAGATGTTGAAACACCCGAGGGCTATGACAAGGCCTATGTGCACATTTCTTTGTAAGCTTATAGTTCCCCCTCGTATAAGCTACATATCGTATTATTCGCCCAGGCTACATTGACGTAGGGGGCTATTGGAAATATTGAACACTTGACCTACTCGCCTGCTCAAGCCGCAGTGGTAAGCATCGAGTTATGTGCTTGGCTCCAACACGGCTTGCTATACGCAGATGCTATACGCAGGGTAATTCTAGGACAAGTTATGGATAACAATACACTACCTCTTTTAGTGTAGGGGGCCAATCAGAAGTGCTCTAGATACCTTAGGTATGTAAGGCCTAACGCGGTTTTTGCGTGAGAACATTCTTTAGCATGTCTCGGTCTTTTGCTGACATCTTTTTTTTTAACAATGTCTCTCATTACACAACCAAGAGCGACGAATATGACGTCAAAGAAATCAATCATCTTGGTAGTTTGATATCTACCTACTGGATTCGGGCGTGTTCTCGGGACGGGAAGATGAGAGGCTTCTGGCACGAGACGTTCTCATTTTTCTGCCATGAAGCTAAACTAAGTCATCGATTCGTCTAGAAGAACCAGGGGCTGGCTGAATACTGTGGCTACCTTATTACTATGTAAGACTTATTTTAAGAAGCTCGGCTGTTCGGCCTGGGCTTAGTTTCATAAGGTCCAGTAATAGTACTGCCGACTACTAATGTATGTGAAGGAATCCCCACGGGGCGCAGAGTAGTCCTTTGCTTTGTTGGAAACAGTTGTATTATAATGCGAACAAGCACATTATACCATGTAACCCTACCTACTACTAAGATCCAATCCGGAGAATTGGAGATTTCTTGATGATGCACAGCCTTTCTCCGCACCGTCCCGCAATGCATGTCCTCGTGGTATCCTGGGACCTGGGGTGCATAGACTTGCCGCGCACCGGAGAACAGAAACTCGGGATTATTATGAATTAAATGACTCAAGGCGTTACCTAAAGCGATGTGTCTTACTCGCTACGTTACTAGAATAGGATCGAGTGACTGAGTAACTGCCGAATCTGACCTTCTTCCAAGCAGCACGTCTTACTACATACATACATACCTCTTACGGATTCGTACGAATTACCCCAACATGTGAATCATGATGCAGGCATTATAACATGACAAGTTTCCATGCACCAAACTTAAAACTTAACGGGGGATTGGCTTCGCATCTCGCGCCCCTCGGACACCGCGCTTTAATGAAACGTCCAAAATTACCTAAAAGACTACCAAACCAGTCCAAAATACGTCAAAATGAAGTATCCTCTTCACTTGCACTTAAGAGGTATTTTCAAATTTTAAACATCCACCATCATTCAAACCTACCTCTTTGTACCTAGTGTATGCAAATGTTTGCCTTTTTAGTAGCCATGTTATATTCTCATTGGTTGAGACTATCTAGTAGGCCGTTTCTTTTAATTAAAGCGTGGCGCTAGTGGGTTGTGGGACTTACATAGGTACCTAGCGTTCGGTGGTAATAGGTGCAGACTGACAGGTCGATTTACTATAGTCTTGATTAAAATGTTCCTCTAGGACTTCATTTAGTATAGCTTTATAATTCAATCCTATGTTTCCACATGTTCGGAGCAAGCTAATAAGGTATATCTCTTGAAGAAAGTGAGTCGTGATCATATTTCAAGATGTCATTAGCACACTGAAATACACATTGCTGGAAATTTCAATCGTTAAGTACCAGGTATCTACGACGTATTATACTTCTGATTTTATACATGTTATATAAACAAGTTTTGAAATATATTTATAAACTATCGTTCTACCTATGCATTTCTTGTATTCCTAAAGCAATATTGGCCTATAATGGTACATATCAATACCTCAGCTAAACTACGTCTATTACTCTATACTACGTGGTTATGTTCTAACATACCTTAGGTACCTACCTAGGTAACTTATCCTTCACAGGAACGGTGCCCACATACACAAAGTCTACTATCAGACTATATGGACGTGTACTTAATGGCATGTCGGTTCATAAGCTCGCTTTCGTTTACTGCTTAAGACGGACGCAAAAGACCAAACTTCAATTTGTAGCATCTATCAACTACCTACCTCCTCCACACGAGTCACGACTATAGGAACAGACAGGTAGCAATTCCCCAGAGCCCACAGCCGCCACCATAGCGATATCAGGCCATTATTAGGCCTCGTATCCTGAAAATGAGTGCACCAGATTTGTAAGAGATTCTGTTTAACCGGAAGACCTCGTGAAGTAAAGTCCAGACCACATCTGATTCTACTAATAGCTCAAGTGAGACCGAAACAAATGATCTCGAGGTTAAGAGGGCTTCAGGGTCGGCTATATAGCAAAAGTTCTAGGCGTCTGTGTGACTTGCAGGTCCCACTGGCGATCGACTGCTACGTCCTCCTGCTCATGTATCCGTAAGGACACATTTAGGACGCATTTAGGTATATCGAACGTCACTTCCGGCAATTGACGCACAGCTAAGCATTGATCTTCGCGGGAGATCTTATCGCTGACGAATAGGATAGCCATTGAATTTTTCCTTTTCCCGGTATCCTTGACGCCAATTATCCGGTTCCAGAAGGTTGGCGACCGGAAGACTGCAGGCATTTGGGATAAATGAAATGGCAAGATGCAACTCAGGATCATCCCGGCGGAGGCTATCTTTTAAGACGCATTTGGAGGCTCTACGGCGTTATCTATAAATACTACCTACCCTATGCCCACGGTTGCATCTCATGTTTTGCAGTCGGTTTGCTATTTTACCCCTCCGCTGTCTATCAACGGAACCAGGAGAAGCTTCAACCACCAAAGAAATTTCATCATGAAGGCCACAAGCTTCATCGCGGGTATTTCTCTGGCGATATCTGCCCTTGCGGAAGGAGACCCGCCGCCTCCGCAGTTCCCGCTTGTTCTCGGAATTGTATCGGAAACTCCTTCTCAATGCGCCCCTGGACAGAGCATGAACATCACATTTCTCCCAGATAGCCTCAGGCTGGATCTTCCTGGTATGGCATTTGGCACGGAAGGACATGGCAGAACGGATGAATATGCTGGCTGTCAGTTCACTGTAGAGTTAACCTCGTGGTGGTACAAGTACCGTTTCGCGATCCGAGACGTGACTTATAGAGGACACCTCAATGCGACGGATGGTGTCCAGCTGTACCAGTTGAAATCCAGTACAGTTTTCAGATACGAGAATCGGAAGCTCAACCCTGGAAGAGCACCGCCTGACATCTGGAACGTATCTATGTCTACCATGGTGAGTTTGCTCATCGCCTGCCTCATACACCTACCTATTCCTAGCTCCTTGAACCTCTCAAGCTGGTCAGTATGTAAAGTTACTAACGATCTTATAGATTGACAACACCGCCAAGGCAGCTGTTGGAGGCGAAGGGAACTTCGATGACAACTTCGAAGTGAGCGGTGGTAACAGTTCCAACTTAGAGTGGTCAACGTGTATGGATGGCGGCGAGGGCTCGGGCGACGTTAAGACGAAGCTCTCGTTCAATATTGGCGCGACTACAAGCGACAAGAGTGGCAAAGGCACTGGTGTTCTAACCCGTGGTTTGACCTTGGACTTCGGACTGGTATGGGAAGAATGCTACCCCGACCGATCAGCTAAGAACGCATGGGGCCAGACGCGGATCGATGACTGGTCGGTCTGTACGTACAACACAAATAACGAGACATCGCGGACGGTCTCGCGAGCGCTACGTCGTGGACCAGGTGTGCCATTCTAGGTTATATTCTAGAATGGAGAAGCCAATAGGTATCCTGGGTATTTCATATAATAAGCGTCTCCTTCCAGCGCATCGGCTAGGTTATCTAAATGTCTTTAATTGCCCCGTGCAACCAGATACTGTCCCAATACCTTCAGAAATCTCAGTAACGCGACGTCTGTTAGCATTCGTATTTAGGGAGACTGGGTTGACTTCTACCGTATATCTTCCAATTATCTACTTCTCATTACTTGCTCTCCTCACCCCCTTCACCAAGGGCATCGGGAGTAATGGCTTGCGCTATTATGTTCGCGATCTCATCTGCATCCCCTATCTTCTCAATCCTTCCATCCTTCATCCAGACCACAACATCTACCCCTTTCCTCAGGTGAGCCACGGCTGCACCTACTCTATGCGCAACCATGATTACAGTATAGCCGTTGCAGGTGAGCTCTTCGTGGACAATATCGAGTATCAGCTTCTCAGTTGACGAGTCAAGGGATGAAGTAGCCTCATCGAGTAAAATTATCGGTTTTGCACCCGATGTATTTATGGTGTATACCTGTAGTAGCGCACGTGCTAGAGCTAGTAGCTGTCCCTGCCCGACCGAAAGTGACGGGAGCGATGCGAGTGTTTGATCTAGGATCGGATGAGCGCTCGAGTGAGTGTCGTGCAATCTGTCAGTGCTCGGGGTAGAATTGAAATGGTGCCATAAGCGCGTTTTGGAGAGAGCTTCAGTTATAGTATCGTTGGAAAGAGTCTCTGTTGGGTCCACATTGAATCGAAGGGTTTGCTGATTGAGAAGCAGGGGCTCTTGAGGTACCGTCACAAAGCAGCGTTCTCGTATTGCCGAACGAGGCACTTGGCCAATGTTTATGCCATCAACTATAATTGAACCCGATTTCGTATCTAATAACTTAAGAAGAGCGAGCAGTAAAGAGCTCTTACCACTACGAGAGACGAAGTCAGCACGCAACGCCTGAGATGTACATGTACGAGTACTTACCTCCCAGTTCGGCCGCACACAACCACTTTTTGCCCAGGCCTAATCTGTAGCGATACATCTTTAAGCGCCGTGGTTTCCTCGTTATAAGCAGCTGTAAGAGCTTGAATCTCGACGGGGCCGGAAGACGGCCATGTCTCCGGAGGTATCTTGGTT